AGTTAACTGGGGTGGTGTGTCGCTGGCCATTTGTGGCTTCCACTGCGCTCTAGAAAAAGCTAAAATTTATATAAAAATTTGAATTATGGCTGTGGGCAGCTTAAACCTTTTCCGTTTTTAGCTTTCAACAGAACTCTTTTGCTTTATTTGTATATTTTTCTGTGGGTCACCGCATAATAAATAACTGTGGATGTATTTTTTCCTTTTTGATACAACAGTTTTTCGTTTAATTTATGCAGGTTAAATTTGCACATTTTTTCCAGGACCGAGCCCATGTTTAGGGGCAATTATGGGGCTGTCAAATGTATATTTCGACAATTGCGGTACAAAGCTTTCTGGCAAGCTTTGAAGGAAAGGAAAAGGCATCCTCAGAGCTTTTCCTCCGACTTTTATCCTTCGCATTTTGTTGTCTTTTCATTAGGACAAAGGGACACTGTCCTTGGCCCGTCGGCTTCCTTAAGTTTGCCATGCACTTGAATTTTTGCGGGAGTTTTCATGGGCGAGAATGTGTTTTTTGTGTTTTTGTCCATTTCATGTCTTGGCCATAAATCGTAACTAAGGTCTCGGGATAGGAAGGATTCGGCGAGATGGTTTAATGCATATTTATACCACCTAAATGGCTAATGAGCAAAACGTGCCACACATGCAGCCAATTTTTGAGGCATGAATATGCGAAAACACGAAGAAAATACATTAATTAAATTTTCGGTAATGCCCGACGTCGACCAAGAACAAACTCAACAAGAAAGAAAGCAAACTTCGGCAAGCCGAAGTTCATATACCCTTGCAGCTATTGCAAGAATTAAACATTTTTGAAAACATTAAAATTATGATTTACTTTCGTATATGTTTAAAAACATTGAAGCTATGATGATTTGCAGCTCAATTATTTGATAGTTATTTTATATATTTTTATTATTTCTAAGGGAGCTATATGATATAGACGTCCGATTTTGATAAAATTTAAACCATAATTCTGAAATATTTAACCATCACTAAGTGTCGAAGAACTAAACAAAAAATTAAAAAACAGAAAAGTTATAATTTTTTTTCATTTATTTTTCCGGTTGTTCCTATGGGAGCTATATGATATAGTCGTCCGACTTTGATGAAATTTAAACCGTAAATCGGAAATATGTAACCATTACTAAATGTCGAAGAACTAAACAAAAAATTAAAAAACAGCAAAGTTATAATTTTTATACCCTTGCAGAGGGTATTATAATTTCAGTCAGAAGTTTGCAACGCAGTGAAGGAGACATCTCCGACCCTATAAAGTATATATATTCTTGATCAGCATCACTAGGCGAGTCGATCTAGCCATGTCCGTCTGTCCGTCCGTCTGTCCGTCTGTCCGTCCGTTTATATGCAAACTAGTCTCTCAGTTTTAAAGCTATCTGCATGAAACTTTCCCAAAAGTTGTCTTTCTATTGCAGGTAGTATATAAGTCGGAACGAGCCGGATCGGACGACTATAGCATATAGCTTCCATAGGAACAATCGGAAAAATAAATGAAAAAAAATTATAACTTTGCTGTTTTTTAATTTTTTGTTTAGTTCTTCGAAATATAGCAATGGTTAAATATTTCAGAATTATGGTTTAAATTTCATCAAAATCGGACGACTATAGCATATAGCTCCCATAGGAACAATCGGAAAAATAATTGAAAAAAAATTATAACTTTGCTGTTTTTTAATTTTTTGTTTTGTTCTTCGACATAAAGCAATGGTTAAATATTTCAGAATTATGGTAAAAATTTCATCAAAATCGGACTACTATAGCATATAGCTCCCATAGGAACAATCGGAAAAATAAATGAAAAATAATTATAACTTTTCTGTTTTTTACTTTTTTGTTTAGCCCTTCGACATAAAGCAATGGTTAAATATTTTCGATTTACGGTTTAAATTTCATCAAAGTCGGACGACTATATCATATAGCTCCCATAGGAACAATCGGAGAAATAAATGAAAAAAAATTATAACTTTTCTGTTTTTTAATTTTTTGTTTAGTTCTTCGACATTTAGTAATGGTTAAATATTTCCAATTTACGGTTTAAGTTTCATCAAAGTCGGACGACTATATCATATAGCTCCCATAGGAACAATAAAAAATATAAAATAACTATCAAATAATTGAGCTGCAAATCATCATAGCTTCAATGTTTTTAAACTTATACGCAAGTAAATTATAATTTTAATGTTTTCAAAAATGTTTAATTCTTGCAATAGCTGCAAGGGTATATGAACTTCGGCTTGCCGAAGTTTGCTTTCTTTCTTGTTTTCATTTATTTTTCCGATTGTTCCTATGGGAGCTATATGCTATAGTCGTCCGACTTTGATGAAATTTAAACCGTAAATCGGAAATATTTAACCATTACTAAATGTCGAAGAACTAAATAAAAAATTAAGAAACAGCAAAGTTATAATTTTTTTTCATTTATTTTTCCGATTGTTCCTATGGGAGCTATATGCTATAGTCGTCCGATCCGGCTCGTTCCGACTTATATACTACCTGCAATAGAAAGACAACTTTTGGGAAAGTTTCATGCAGATAGCTTTAAAACTGAGAGACTAGTTTGCATATAAACGGACGGACAGACGGACGGACAGACGGACAGACGGACGGACAGACGGACAGACGGACAGACGGACATGGCTAGATCGACTCGCCTAGTGATGCTGATCAAGAATATATATACTTTATAGGGTCGGAGATGTCTCCTACACTGCGTTGCAAACTTCTGACTGAAATTATAATACCCTCTGCAAGGGTATAAAAAGACGCTGTAACTTTTACAAGCAAACGGTACAAGTCGGTAATCAGCAGGAGAAAAACGGGGAAAACCGAGGGAACTATAAAGAAAATAATGTCGGGCCATGTGTGTCAGAATTCTGATTGAGAATTATGCCAGAGAAAACAACGGGAGCGAACGAATGTGCGATAAGATTTCCCCTTGCATTATTTATAAGAATAAAAACCGAATAATGAAGCTTCATAAAAATTCCAGGGCTCAAGCAACATAGCGGATATTACAAACAAAAGATAATAATATAATGAGCAATAAGCCAAAGGCAAATAATAAAGGCCATCTGCAGAAAATGCTTCGTAGCTTGGCCCGAGACCGCAGCAGGATTCAATTATGTGCGATAAACAGAAGTCATTAAATATTAAAGTGCTAATGGAAAAGGAATCGGTGCCCATACCAAAGATGACGATTTCTCGGAATAATAAACCGGCTTAAGGGACGCGGTAACAAGGAAAACTAACAAGCAAAAAGCTGGGAGTGAAGGGTGAAGATGGACAGAAGTACTGGGGATGGAAAACAATTTAATGACCAACTGACGTCTTTTAAAAACAAGGCCATGAAAGAGGGAACAACTAAGGACAAATATTTATTGATGCACAGAATTATAAATTTCCGTTCAAAAATATGTTTCCTTTCAATTTAAAAGAAAAAAGGTGATTTCAAAATAGAAACCATTATTAATACCACTTTCATTTTCTTAAAAAAAGAGATAGATGTCATTAGCGTTTGATTATTAAAACCTGAAGCCCTACTGATTTTAGGATTTATATGTTTTACATTTATTTCTCTATGACATGTACAAAAGTTACAAATACAATTTCTACTTAATTTTTTTTTTTCAAAAAAATGCTTTTTGTCTGAAATTGTAAACGAGTATTTCTTTTTCCCCTATCTCATATGTATATTTTTGCGACGACAGGCATATTTTCAGGTCCTTTGATTTGTGTACAAGCTTAATTTTATGTCATACTCTATTATTCATGCATAAAAAGGAGTCCCTACCACAGTGCTTTGGGGCTAATTTTACGCTCCTCTTACTCTGCATTATTAGATTATTACGTTCCGGTTTTAGGGTTTAGCTACGCAAGGATATTTAATGTTTTGTGGGAAAACAAATATACATTCGTTGTGACCTTATTTCCTTGGTAATGCGTTGCTTAAACAGTAATGAACAAATCCATCAAATTCGGAACTGTTGTCAACAATACAGGTTGATTAGAGCCATTAACAAATTGGAACGTAATTCGCCACGCTTTACTAACAGGAATTTAATCTGAGATTTTAGCCTTGCACATGCAAATCAGTGATGTTGCAGCCGCAAAATAAACTGCTCCCATTTCTGATTTCACCAGGGATGAGAAACGAAATTTGAAATCTGTGTTAATAAAATTTGAAATTTATAAAGTATTTTTAAGACTTTTTTTCATTATGATATCGGTTTAATTTAGTTATCGATTGAATCTGACTGCCAAGGTCGATACCATTTTATTTTGGGTTTTCTATTTGTTTTTTTACTTGGCTTTGTTACAGTGTTTTCTGTTTTCCAGTGGCTGACAATCTTGTCCATTAAGGTCTCACAGTTATTCGGCATAGTTAAAATAATATCCAGCGAACTAACTTCAGTTTGCCTGATACAAAACAAAATGTTGTGCAGGTTCTTATCAAAATCGTTCAGCATTCGATTCGCTGCCAGTATTTTTCTAATTGAAATATATATTTTTTTTATTTATTTATATTTTACCAGCTGTGAGAATCAAACAAAAGCTGAATTAAGCCAAATTTTTTATACCCATATCATGTAGTTAACCGAAAGGGAAACAATTGCTAAAATCCACCTTATAGCCTGCCTTTTAACAAGGTGTTCGAAACACTCGTTAGCTTTCATGACAAATGGACTAGTTACACTTATAAAAGTAATAAGTACTATATGATAATAAGCCTTATTTTTCTCACTAGTATTTTTTTGATTGCAATGTTTTCTAAAAACTAGAATTTGATTACAACGCCCTCGTGTTTTTTTTTGAATAAGGTTTTGCATCACTGATCCAATTGCCAAAAAGTGCGGAGCAATCGTGAGCGGAACCAAACCGCGAATCTCTAAACCGAAACCAAATTTTAAATGCATGTAATTGTTATATAGAGGAGCGTTAGCCAAACAAATTTTGCGTCACTTTTGTGGCTTCACCTGTGGTTGTCAGCGGCAGGTGTTTCCCTCGCATGTGTGCTGCACTTTCCAGCAAATAAATTATAAATAAAACACATCGACGTCCACACGAAGTGCTGTCATGATTTTCCTGAACCCCACAGAAGCTCTTTGCTTGTGCGGGGTGACCAGGTTAAATATATCCCTTTTTTCGGCGTCCCCTCAACGCTGCGGATGCTTTATTTATGCCATGAATAAATGCAAATTTCTCAACGCCGCAGCAGATTTTGCAACATATGAGAAAGAAAAGCGGATGGGAGCGGGGCCAAACGGAAAAGGGACTCCGTAGCGTGTCCTTTGCATAATAATAACTTGTAAATGTCATGTAGCGTAACCGTGTCCTCTATCAAAAAATAAGAAGAAAAAATGTTGAAAGTGAAGTTCTCCATTTGGGATCGTGTGCCGTATGCGAATTAGCATTTAATATGGGACATAGGGCCAGAAACATTAACATTGCTAATACGCTCCAGTGTCTTCAAAGGAAAATGGCCGGCTAAGAAATTGAAGTGATTGCAGTAAACTGCAACAAGTTGAAAGCGAAAAAATAAACACCAACGAACGCAAAAAAGAAAGGTAAACATTAATATTGCTCTCTGTTTGCTTTTCCCATAGAACTGTGTGATTAGTTTAGGTTCTCAACCTTTGGCAAACCTTATCGACGCCACTAATTGACCGGAAACGAGGAAAATTGATTTATTTGCCTTGGCTCAAGGTCGTCAAGGGCTCATTATTGTGATTAAAGCTGGGCACATAATCAATGGCAAGTGATTGGTCGAGAAGCGATTTCCGTAATTCAAGCAATTTGTAAATTAGGTTTGACCTGATATAAATGAAACGAGTTTTGGTGACATTGCGGTAAGAATTTACGCTTGCTTAAAGAAGTATTTTCTTCGGTATTAATAAAACTTTATTATTTATATTCAAACAATTGAGTAGAATAAAGTTTTTAATATATTTTAACGAGCATATACGTAAACTAAAAAAGCTACTCTATTAAAATTGTAATTATGTTTCGATTTTGTAGTTTATTTAAGCCACAGCCAATTACAAACATTAATCTTGTTTAAATGTATTTGTTGATCTCGTCCATGAAATTTTGTCATTTTCTTAGCAAGCAAACGCCTGAAAACGCAAGCCCAATCAACAATCGTTTCCCATTTTGGATGGCATTAAATCGGAAATAAGGGGAACTTTAATTATTTATGGGACTGAAGGAGTCTGGCCCAGTCAATGGCATAAAACGGAAAATTTGTTGCCCACCAACAACTCACTATCGCCAGAACCATTGGGCAATTTTTGCATTGGCAAGCGTTTTTGGACCAAAGACAGCGCGCCACTTGTGTGCGATACGTTTGCAACAAAGACAGAAACGAGTCTCTAAAAGCGAGAGAGAAGACAGTCATATACGGAAAGCCATTTGAAAACTATTACGCCCAGGAGATTCATTCAAGTAGTGCGGCATTTATAACTCAAATGTTGCCCAAGTAACAAAAAGCCTAAAAACTCGAGCGCAGCAGCAGGAGTTCAACTGTGGCGAAGGGTTTGCAGCCCGGCAGACAGGGATGAGCAACTGGAAATTGGCCAATTGTATTTTATTTGTACTTTATTATTGTATAATAGGTTCGAATAATCTTTGACCATTTATAATGTTTCTGTGTAAATGGCAATAAACATATCTATGGGTGTAACTGTATATAGATATTTAAATTCAAACCGTTGAAAAAATATTATTTAATTTGGATTAATCAACTTATCAAATGTACATGAAGTGCGTTTTTCAAATTCGTATTGGAAGGATGTAAGAAGTTTAGTTTAGAAGAAATTCGTTAACTTGCATAAGATTTAAGCACGACCAATAACTATCTAAAAGAAAATCTTTAATGTTTATTATCCCTTATTTTTATCACTATAATTAACTAAAGTCTCAAGATATTCTACACAGAATCTAAAAAAAGCCTTTTCATATAAATTTCAAATCACAATCGAAACTTTGCCATCTCTAGCAAAGGGAATAACAAACTATGGCAGGAAAATGAAGAAACTGTGGAAGCATCCGAGGCAATGCTAAAAACGGCAACTCTGAATGGCATTCTCTCTGCTTGCTTTTTATTAGAATGTGTCCATGGAGACGTGGGCGCCAGCCATTGTCTGGCTGCCTTCCCCACCATGAATCTCTATCGCTCTCTGCACGAGTATATATTGTATAATATGTATTGTGCCTGTGCAGTTTGCTATACATTTCTTAGCACGTAGTTATCTATGGCACCAACTAGAACAACACTGCCACTTGAAACAACAATAAATAGTTTGTTGAAAACGGAAAAAACCTAGACGCTTGTATATGTGTACAACTCCCTATTCCGCCATAAAAATAAAAGAGGTAAGTCCCAGAAATAAGATATGGACGCAAAATCTCTTTATTTAGTGGCAAAAAACATCAAAAGAACAACGACAACTAATAGTATTTAAAGCATTCTTGTTTCAAGCAATTAAAAGTCATGTACCTTTATAAACGTAAATTGAATTAGCCCCACGTTTATTATATACATTGCGATAACACATATAATTTACAGATTTATTACATTTAAAAGATTTTGATTTTTATAATTTATAAATATAAATAAACAAACTAAGTAATGCAGAGAAACATGTACTTGTTAAATTATGGGAAAATGAAGCATTTGGTTTTTAAGGAATCATTCCTAGTGCTATTTGTAGAAATCTTAAAACAACATGTATTTTTTGTATTCTTGATTTGATTAATTGAATTATGTTCCTTACTCAGTACCAAAACAGATTTGTAGTGTTTATGTGAATAATGTTCTTGTTTTGTGAATGGGCCAAAACCACAACGACTAACGAACTTAATTTTTTACCAGAGACGTTTGAATGTGAATCGAAACTCAAAGTTTTACCCGTTCAAATGGCTAGTTGCATAACCAAAGCGAATCATTAAATCGTCTTAAGCCATTACCATTTTTAAACAATTTACTAAACAATGCTACTAAACGTAATTTGCATGGCCTTAAAAAATCAGAAGGCTAAATATTAATGTTCATATTTAGGTGCAAATTCATAAGAAAGCTTTTAATGTTCATTTTATAAATAAAAGGTAATCAAAGCATCAATAAACATACTTAATGAAGATAGTGACAAAATGTTAATGTATTTTTACCAATTGATAGTAAACTGGTTTTATTTAATGGCACAACTAAATTTTGAGATATGAGTTGTTACAATACAAAATGGGACTATTTTATTAACGGTGGCTTTTTAGATGTTTTAATAGTACATGAAAAAGCGACTCCGACTGAAAACAGAAATATAATGGATAATGGTGAATACCTGTCAAGCTTCAATAACAAATGCATAACTTTGTTTGAATAAAACAGGCATAGTTTCTATGTGCAAACCATTAGGATATCTTTTTATTGATTGCCAAGACTCAAATATTAGAAAAATCTTATTTATCTGGAGACGGGAGCACCACTATTAATGTGGATAACGTTCTTGTTTTCGTTTACCTTGCCTTCTTGTGCTTGGGCCAAGGCCAACGTAGCCAACAGGAGAACAAATCCACCAAGGAATTTCATGTCTACCAGTCAAGATTGAAAGTAATACCAGGCTAGGTGATACGACTATTTATAAGACAAATGTTGTATAAGTGGCACAAATCCAATTTTCACACAAAATTTACATTAGAGCTTGTCAAAACTAGGAAAAATTAACCGCTGACATTTTCTATAAACAAGAATTTAGCTCCGATATTTTCTGGGTTTTAAAAAAAACCAGATTCAAATTTCCAATTAAACAAACCAAAGACATAGCACGATAGGGGCGAATTTGAATTTTGAAATCTAAAAAATCCTCCAGATATCAAACCAAATAGAGTTACAGGCGGATTGTTAAGGTTAATAGCTTATGAGAATCTAAAATGTTCCATCTTTAAGATATACCGATGTAATTATGTATGTTAAATTATGAGGTGTATTTATTTCGAAAGCTAAGGACCCTTATGTTATACCTATTTGATAAAAGAAAGTATGCAAAATTTCTTATGCTAAAACATTCTTATAGAAATTACGACTATTAGGAAATATACAAGGCATATACAAAAATTCGACATTTTTTTTTGCTAAAACCTTCAATTATTTACAACCGAAAAACCAATTATAGGCCATTCCGCCAAGCTGTCATTACATAAACTATTATCACACCATTAAATATAGATTTAGGAAACATTACATTTTAAAACATTTACAATGATAAGGGGAGCTACATTTTTTAAAAATAAATAAGCCTGTAAGGTCAAACGACAAACGGTTTATTTGGCTGCGGGGGCGGCACCAGCGGCAGGGGCAGCTTGAGCGGCGGGAGCGGCAGGAGCGCCGGCTGGCGGTTTGCCAATGACAATGATATTGTGATTAGTATTCAAGGCCGACGATTGTCCGCTGACCATGGCTACAACAACCACCAAAGCGACGAAAAGAGCAAGGAACTTCATATCTGCCAGTGGGAAAACTCGAATTGAAAACAATGCGGAAATTCGTGCCCATTTATATAGGTGTAAGCTGACCGCTAAGTGAAATAAATCTTCGCATTGGTCATACCTGACATTTTCTGGTGTGTCGACTTGAAAAAAATGTTTAAAGGTTAGATCAAGTTTTCCCTTACCTAAAGAAAAAACCTTTCTATGAAAGTTTTACACAAGTTTTATTCAACATAAAGATACATATTTTGTTAATAGTAAGTTGCTCGTTTTTAAATGGGAGCACAACATTTTTTTATAGAGAATCCTTAATGCTGTGAATTTGTAGATGAACTAAAAAAATAATTTTTTAGTGGGAGCCAAACCCTCTAAAATTTGCTAAGTTACCAAAAGGGTTTAAATTATAGGATACATGTTAAAGAGTCTATAAAAATATAAAAAATTTCGATTATAATCACAATTTTGTTGTGCCAGGTGGAACAAATTCAGCTTAAAGCGAACCGCAATAACGTGCTGGGAGTGCAGTCGAAAATTCTCGCAATGAAAGTGGCGAGAACGCTAACCGTTCTAGGTTCCCTAGTTATTATACTTGGCCTTATATTAACATACAACTGGATGACAAATCGTAGGCCCATCCGAGCCATAGCCAAAGAACATATAAACCCGAATCATAAGCCGAAGAAAGCACTTCCTCTTCCAAAAAAACCAATTCAAAAAAAGGCAAACAAACCCAAGAAAACAGTGAAGCATCAAAAGGTGAAAAAGCAACACAAGCCGCTGACCCATAAACCCAAATTTAAAACGAAAAAGGGGGCTAAGGTTCCTGCAATTCCCCTGCTGGATATTCTTAAGGCAAAAAATCAGCCGAGACGTGGGAAAAGTATATTCTTTCATGAAACCACTAATTTCCGGAGGGACGAGAAGGTCCGACTGGTCCAATTGACGGCCCGCGAGGCGTGTGCCATTGAGTCGGCCGCCCTTTATAACCCACGCTTCACTGTATTTGTGCTCTTCGCAGGTGCCACTCATCGCCTATCAAGTGGTGATCCGCTGATCAAGGCTTTAAGTCGATATAAGAACATAAGACTTAGGCATCTGAATGTGGGGCGGTTTGTAGCCGGTACTCCCATTGAAAAGTGGCTGAAAAATGGAAAACTGTTCAAATCCAAATATCTATTTTCGCACGTCTCCGATCTTTTGCGCTACGTTACCCTATACAAATATGGTGGTTTGTACTTGGATCTCGATGTGGTGGTTCAGCGAAGCCTGGAGGATATGCCACCGAATTTCACGGGGGCTGAGAGTAATAAATCCTTGGCCTGCGGCGTCATGAAAATGTCCTCCACCGGTTTGGGCCATAAGATTGCCAGCTTGTGCCTGCGGGATCTGCAGGCCAACTACGATGCCAATAAATGGGGCAGCAATGGGCCCGGGGTCATAACCAGAGTGGCTAAAAAGCTGTGCAACACCGATACAGTCACGACAATGATCAATAACCCAAAACGCTGCAAGGGCTTTAAGGTTTTCAATCCAAAAGCCTTTTATACCATTCCCTGGCTACAATGGAAGGATTTCTTTCAACCCAATAGACTAAATGTAACCATGAAAAGAATTTCAAAGTCTCCGGTCATTCATGTTTGGAACAAGTTCTCACGCGGCTGGAAACTAAAGACAAAGGACAATTGTGCTTACACCAAATTGGCCAAAACACACTGCCCAAAGTCATTTGGGGCAGCGGGAACCTATTTCTAGATCAATTTTGTTTAGTTCTTAGTTTTTTCTGGTAAAAATCTAATTCGTTAAGTAAAAAATCTATTAAAAAATGTTAATGAAGTTTACATGAACAAGTCGTACTTGATCAGCATAAGAAACCCCACTATATTAGCATTTATACAATTTTAGAGAGACATCAAATGTTATTTTTTTAGATAAATAATTGTTTGATATTTTTAAAGATGATTTATTTACATAGCAACCAATTTGAAGAACTACTAAGCAAAATATTTAAGTAAAATTTTTATTCAAATTCACACCAAACTCATCCTAACATTTAAAGAATAAGCATACCAAAAGCATAAGTAATTATCTTAAATTTCTGACAGATTGCTAAAAACAATACATTCAAAGAAAAATTAAACCAACTGGACAGACAGACAATTGTCCAAATTGTCCATTGAAATATTCATAATAAATTCCGAGAATTGGTTGTCATGGCGCAATGAACAACTAATTAATTATTACCAAATAAAGTCCAAGCAAATAGCCAAAAGCAATTTTAGCCTGGGCATTATTAACATTTTTGAGGATATCTCGCAGCGCTTTCAAGTTTTGAATAAATATTTTCGGATCATTAAATGTGAGTCAGACAGTGCTTTATTTATGCAAAACGCAATTTCTCAATTTATTTATAACTTATATTAAAATTCAAAATATTCAGGGGCCAGTGGAAAGTGGATTTAGCAAACAGGAGTGGCAGGAACTAATGCCTGAATTTATTGTGACTTTTGGCACTGCCAGCAACAGCTGCTCCACATTACGGGTGACACCCAAAAACTCGAATCCACCCAACTAAAATAGAGAAAAAAAGAACAGAGCTCACACATGTGACTCCTGCTCAGTTTTATCTGCTGCGCTGCACGCGGCACATTTGCATATTTCGTGCACAGGAGGATCTGAGTTTTTATTTTTATTTCATTTTTATTAATGCGAAAAATGTAATTTCAAGCATTTGCAACTGCAGCGGACCCTTGGGGACACAGTCAACCTAAAAAATATAAAAAATTTGGCATGTAGGAATTTGCGAATATTTCATGGAACGAAATTCATTTATAACCCCTTGAACACATCAGGTTTGACTTTAAAGTGAGAATGTTTCAGTTTGCTAAAATTAAAGTTGTATCCGTTTTGTTTTTTCCTAATGTTGCTTTCTACATTTGCTTAGCTCGTTTATATTGAATTCTTGTTTCTCAAAACCGCAATATTTTTGGTTTTGATTTGCATTAATTGTGATGATAAGACTTTATTAATTTTTTTTTAATCGGAGTTCACCTAGAAATAAAACTTTTTATTTAATTTTTTTTTATGCTAAAAAAATCTCTATAAATATAAATTTTAATTCTATTAACATTTCTAAGAAAATTTTAATTGATTTGTTAAAAAGTTTTCTTCGAACCGAAATTAGTTATTCACGTATAGAAATTTATTGATTGATTTCAAGCTAATTTATAAAAGGATTTAAGTTCTGACTTCTAAGCAAAAATGCTTAGAATTTTCTTTTGTTTTTCTTAAATTAAGAAAAGAACGAACACTTATTTTATTTTAGAAGCTTAAAATGGCTCGAACATTTCTATGTTTATATTAATGTCCCAGAAAATCTCACTTTTGCAGTAACAATTATTATTGCAATCAAATCACTTGATTAGATTTTGCCCTTTTAGACTCGGTCTGCCGGTTCACTCTTAACTTTTGGCTTATGTCATGTCCACAGGGTCAACATGAAATTCGGCTCTGTTACTTTCATTTGCATTTGTCACGCTCGTTAGTCTTTCGGAATTCCCATTGGGAAATACGTAGTTTCTGATATCCAATGACAGTCACGTGACCGGAATTTCGCCCTGGGCCAAACAAAAACTAACGCCGAGCGCAGTTCAAGTAATGCTTACTAAGCTGAAAAGTTCTGCTCTCGTCCTAGAGCAGGCATATAAATGTGTTTTTTTAACTAATGCACAAGCTACAGCATTAGAGAATCACACTCCTTCAGCTCATAAATAAATATAAAAATTACTGTAATAGTTTTCAGCTTTTGGTTTTACTTGGCAGCGAGCAACGTATAAATGCCAAAGAAAATCTCTCTGACTGAAATCCGTTGGCTTTATCTAAGCACTGGTAATAGGATAAAAAGTCCTAGAATTTCTTGGTTACAATGCAACGGGCTGAATGAAGGACTCTGTGGCAAGAAATGATTCGAAGTGGAATGAGAACAAGGGTAATAAAGTATAAATCTTTAAGTAACATAGCAAATACCTCAAAACACCCAACTCGGCCGAAAGGTTCGAGTAAATCAGGTCGGGAAAAATAATTTATAATTGCTTATTGTAATCATAAGCTAAAGATAAAAATTACAAGAAAATAATTCATTTTAAGCTACAAACTAATTCATTTATTGGTGTTTAAGTTAAGAAAATTGTATTCAAGTTATTTTCAAAATTCGTTTCATTTTAAACTCGCACCTGTATCTTGTGCGACGAAAGCACAATCTACAATTTAAACGAAACTCCCGATCAACTTGATTAAATTTCAACAATGATTGCACAGCGAATTGAATGGTGTGGCACATTGAAATTTAGGGAAAGAGCGGTCGGAATGATTATTATTGTAGCAGTGGCCACACTCGCAACAATAGCAGAAGAAGAAAGCAGGAGCGGAAAAATAAAAAGCCAAATATTTTCATGGCTGCCACAAGGAAGTGGCCAAAAGCGCACTTTTCATAATATCTTTCATTTTATGGTCGGCAGCGGGAAACATGCAGCCAGCCAGCTGAAAATTCAAATGAATACCAAATTCCGGCACACTCTTATGCGCGCAATGCCACAAAGGCTTTTTCAAAAATTTCCCATCCCCTCCAGATCTGGGAAAACGCCAGTCGACTAACCCCATCCGGTCTTGACTGCGGAAACAGCTGTTTCCTTTGCACTGGCACACAAACAACTCCTGACCCAATACCCCGAATCCGAAGAAGATACGGCGAAATTATTATTACACTTATGCCAATTCAGCGAATTTTCCATGTGCCTTTCTGAACTCCTACCATGAGGAGGTTCGAGGTTGAAAACTTCAGCTTGCCTAGCTTAATAAAAGCGCAAAAAATGAGCTCATAAATTTTAAATTCGACACTGAGTATGCCACAAAAATTAAATTTAAAAATCTTTATGATTTAACTTCGCGGTTCTTTGTTTTTTGTCGGAACTGAAAGTTTGTGTTCTGCAAATAATTAAATCTTTCTGGAAATAAAATACTTTAGTAAAACTACGTTATTATAAAATAGCTAACTAAAAGAAACACTGAAATAAATTATTCTCTAAAAATTACTTATTTAAGGAAATACATTGGTAGTTATTTTGTAGGAAAGTAACATCTCTAAATTAATACCGTATATAGAGGGCATAAGCAAAACAAAGTAGTAAAAAAGGGAACTAAGGCACAGGAAGGCCAAGAAATGTTCGTTCAGAGGAAAATAAATGAGCTCTGGCCATAGAACTTAAAGTTTGGACCGATGCGACGCAAAAGCGCCCTTCCGCTAATTTTGTATGCAGCCCACACAAATCTTGTCATTATTAAAGACTCCGAACTCAACCTCAAGCTGGACTTTGCGGCCGAACTGGTGTCTGCTTTTTGCTCGTTTGATTTGCTCCATTAATTTTGAGCGGAGTTCTGGCCCGGCAAAAAGTTCTGTGACAGCAAAAGTGGGATCTTGTAGGGGCCGTTGATTTGTGTGGCGCTTTTCTGGGTGATTAAGTCATTCATCAGGCGGCGGCGACGGACTAAGAGGCCATTTTCTTAACGCGGTTTTCTAATGAAGCGTCATGCCGAATAATTAGAGGTTGCGTCCTGCCCTTGGCTTATCTAGTCGCCAATATTTCCACTCACTTTTTTCAATTAAAAAGTTTCGCCTTTGTCATGGTTACGCAATAAATTTACAGACTTCGCCGGGCCATAAGGCGTATGCGTAATAAGCATTCAATGATTGGGCACACAGAGCGGATCTAAGCCCATTTAATTAGTATTAATAATGATTCTGGACTAGGGACCAAGCTGTTGCCGTGCAACCTGCTACAAAAAGGAAAGGGTGGGATTGAACAGACGGGAAAAGAGATTATGCTTAAAAAAATTAAAGCAACGTAAAGTAAAAGTTCAAAATAATTGACCGACTTTAATAACTCTTTTTGTATTTTTAATTCTTAAGGTTTTTCCGTTCGTTTTACGTTGTCTAATTTTAAAAACATATATCGCAAACTTTTTGTTTTCCAGCATTTTTAAGGTTTTAAAAATTCTATTATTTGTAAATTAAATTACCCAAACCAAAAAAATTAATTTTGAATTTTATGTTTTTAATTTTAGAACTGAATAAGCTTAATTTTACTCAGAAGTTTCTTGTTTATATTGACAAACAAGTTTTAAAAATTGATGTACTTTTTCTGAGTGGACCATTGGGTGTGGGTGGCATAGCATCTATGAAGGTCGACGCTAAGTAGTTTAGTTCTGCCATTGGCATGCTCAGCAGTGCAAATGCCTTGATAAACGTTGCAAGCGAACCCTGGCTATAATTTTATAGCTCACAGCATATTTATTTCGCAGGAACTGAACACAATGAGGGCGAAGGCTTCTTTGTTGACTTTCCCCCATTTTATTTCATTCATTGTTTTACTTGGCATGGCTCCCAGCTTCGTTGTAAGCAAATTTGCTTATTTATTGTTAAACTTGAAACCCGTCCAGAGGGGGAGTAAAAGTTGAAATACTATCGACTCAACAGAAGTTTTAAGTGCCCCAAATTAAGGTTATAGTTAATTAAGATTGCAGTTGAATGAAAGCCAAATGATAGTAACAAGTAATTAAATTCTACACAGGAACTTCGTAGGTTAAATAGTTTTAGTGTATGAATAATACGAATTTTAATTACAATAAAGGTAATTAAAATGTGCAGTGATAAATAAAAATTAAAGTGCCATGAAGGTAAGCCTCTTTAAACCATGTTTTATTAGTTCTGCTTAGCATTTGTCCAAAATAAGTCAAAACTTGACAAAAACACCCTAACATAATCCCTATCAAACAAGCTTCTTTCCGTTCTCTCATGAACTGTAGTAACTCGGTCCGAACATCCTTTGGCAAGCTCACATATCTCAGCACTTTACAGCAAGGGATGATATCACGTACCAAATAGTTGCACTTACAGGGGGGTACAAGGCAAAGCGGGCGTTTCGCTATTTTACACCTATGCAGGTGGGATGTATTAATTTCCAAGCTGCTTGTTGATACTTTTGCAGCACTTTGCGTTGACATTCTTTGGAAATTTGTTGTCTTGTTTGTCCCAGTTTGTTTCTCTGTCACATCTCCGCTGTTCGTCCTGTTTTCATTATTAATACGCCGACTGCCTTTTGTTTGCCGCCCCGCGTTTCTAGCAACTTTCCACTCTAGAAATTTGAGCCAAGTCGCTTAGCTTTGTATTCGTGTTAGTGACAGAAATTATTCTTGTTGACACATAAAAATTGTTTAACCCTTTTTTTCGTGACATGAAAAATGACAGGAAATGATAAAATGTTTTCGTACGTGTGAGTGTGAGTGAAGCATTTGGCCAAAACATTTCCGAGACATTGATGTATTTGGGTCAGATGCTGTGAGTATATTTTTTCTTTCAAGGGAAAACCCAGAAAAATGCTCAAGATATATATACACACATTCCGGCTCATTAATAGCGCTGAAATTTGCATAGCTAATTGCTTTTTAATTGTTGTGTTTGGAATGTTCAATTGCAGCCGAAAGATATATAAATATATATATATTTTTTTTTAGGGCTTAGTTCATTTCTTAATCTGGGCACGTTTTATGGCAGAAGTGTCTTCATTTTGTTTTCATTTTATGCTGGGCTGTGCCCCATTAGGCAAATAGAGTTTGCAGCTTGGCTAATGAAGCATAGTTTTGAGATTCGCCACGCCCCCACCCAGCCCACTCAGACAGACTTCAATTAGCCTGCCAGCAATGGCTGAATTTTTATTTTACTCTCTGTTTTGTTTTTCAAGCACTTTCCTTTTTTTTTTGGTTGCCTCTTGCGGTCATTAAAACTAATGGCAGCTGGCTTTCAAAATCCCACACTTGCCCTCAGGCCGAATGGACCGACCAACTGGATATATCATTTGACCAACAAGCCAAACAAACTCACACACAAGTTCACAAACAAAATAATACAAAACGATCAAAAAAATAAAAAAAAGGGGCCAAAGTTTTGTTTGGCTGGCATGCGGCCACAAAAGAGCAGTAAATTAAAATTTGCTCGACATGAAATTGAAGCGGCACAGCGATGCTCTTTACCACCCTTTCCCAATTTCAATTTTTGCTGTGCAAATTTATCAATTTTTGACGCTCCTGCCTGGACCCGTTCAATCTGATTGCAAATGCAGTTGCCTCTAAAATATCAGAGCACAAGTGTTAATAAATATTTATATTTTTGCGGAATATATACAGGTGTAAACATTTTACTCAACATTTAATTTCTGATGAGAGTGGGAGTTTAATTTATTTCCTGATGATGTGTAGAGCTGTTTCATTGCACTATTGTCGTAACTATTGGTCCCAAGAGGATAATAAATATTTTTTGACTGCAGTTTATGGAATTTTTTTCAAGTTTATTTTTAAAATATCAGCAGAAAATATTTACTATTGTCAACAGTAAAATAAAGTATATTCAACCAATAAGCAATATCTTATGCTAATAAGAAATGCGAAATTGGCAACATTTATCTGCAATTTTAATTTTGTGCTTCATTCATTCAAAAAAATCAAGCGCATGTTGACATTCGACCATATTGTATTAAAGAGAAGAGTCAGCCATTTTTATAATAAACCTTGCAAAAACAAAGTAATCGTTACAACATAAAAAAAGTACAAAATTATTTTTAAAATCAACGCTTATTCCTGGGAATAGTTCCAGAAAAATAGTAATTTATGACACCTACTGTCAATAGCTCATTCAATATTCGACGAGTTCTACTTGAATTTCCCAACGATCGCCTGCAGTTGGAGTTCACTTGACCCACTGCACTTTATTGGCTTCTGTCTCCGGTTTGTTTTTCCGTAGATTTGGCCTGCGGCAAATGCCCGAAGGACCATGTAGTTTACGTGGTCAAAGTTCTACGTTCCCGGCCAACTGCCATGCAAAGCAGATTTTTGCCAAAAATAGCAGACCTTTGGCCACTTTGCAATCGGCACGCGTGCACAGATTAAACAGGCAAAAAAAAGGAAGAATAGCTTGCGGCAGCGGTCAAACAAACAATTTTAAAGAGGTCCAATCAATTATCAACTTGAGTCCACTCTGTTCTTACCACAGTTCCCGTTAAGCGACCATTTCCGCAACGATTATTCAATGTCAACTAAAAAGTTGCAAAAACGTTCGAAAAACCAGCAAAAGCAATTAAAAGCAGCTGCTGCCCGGTCACGCCTTATTTTCGCCCCGCCCCCCTCAAAAAGTTCATGTTTATTTTATGTGGCAAAATATGTTTTCTTTTCGGGAGAAATATTTATGTTAGCTCTGCTGCAGTTTATTTGTCAAGCCGGACATGCAGATGTCGGGGGATTAGATGGATTTATCGCACTGTGACAAATATACGGTGTAAATCATTTGGCCGGCTACTTTTTTTAGTCATCTATGAGTATACGTGTTAAATTTTCACGCAAGAAAAGGTGCATTAAATATGCGAGTGTTTGCAAAAAACGTTGAGCATTATTGGCTTTGTCATCTAAATGGTACATTTTACAACCATTAAACAAAGTGAAGCCACAGAAATATATAGCTATTCAATTAGGAAATTAATGAATCTTGTATTTATCGAAAAAAAATACAAACAGACATTAAAGTTGTTTTTGCGGTGAAAAATATATGACTAACCCATCACTTTCAGAACAACCCAGTTATTAAACACACTAAAGTCAATTAAAAATACACTTTCCTGCTTCAACTAATTTCATGCTGCATTCGGAGTAATGTATTCCGCGTTTTTTTATTTTTTTTTTTGTTTAATCTATATTAGCTGTGCTGTCAAATACAAAATTGAACTCACTGCAATTTACCGGGGGCATGACTTAATTAGCTCCAGCTTATCCACAGCTCGATAATGATGAATAAGCCAAACCCCTGACCCGCAATCCCCGTCTTTAGTTCAAATGAAATTTTCACCGTTTCGCAGCCGAACTGCAGCTACACACACAGCATGTTGAAGTTAATTGAATTGTTGTTTTGTTTGGCCCCAGATATTGCCGTCAAACATGTACCATGTATTAGTTATTGATTTCCCCCAGGTTGCGAAGTATAATGGCAATCAACTCGAAATGGGAGAAAGCCATGGAAAACAGGAGTTCAAACGCTCAGGCCACAGTTTAATCAACTTTTGCTCGAAATTAAATAAACTTTAAGATTTCGGTCTTGCGACCAGACAATGACTAAATAAATGTCAGCTTAAACGATTATTTAAGGTATTCATGATTAAGTAAAAGAAGAGCAGTCGTCTATTAAGTCAATGTTTCGATACTTTAATCTTGACGAGTTCAGTTTTCCATACTTCAAATATAATAGAGGTAGTTCCTCTACAAGTTACAGAATATCATTATTATTTGATAAAAAAAATTCAATAGATGATCTCACAAAGCAATAAATGAAACAAAGAAACTCACATGCAGTTGCCAAAGATATGTATGTATGTATAATTTACATAATGAGAGGCTCAGCGACTGATGTGAAACGTGATATGAACTTGTAGGATCTATTGATGGGAGGAATCCGAATCCTTGGATGATGAACTGGAGGACTGGGCTAGAAATTCCAGTTGCGAGGAGTCTTCTGCTGGGCATTCAGAGCTTTCCGCCAGGGAAATTTCGGTGGCGGACAAACTGGTGTCCTCCACATCGCCCACATATTCCTCCACATCGCTTTCGCTGTCGTAGAGCTGGTCATCGCCATCCAAATCGATGATGACGCGTCGCAAATAGCGCAGTTCTTCGTGGGCACGAGACACTTTTCGCTCCAAGGTCTTCATTTGGGCCTAAAAATGTTATTTACATATCTGGTTTTCTTTATATTTTAATAAAAAGTTACAATTTCTAACCTGTGGAATCAGCGGACAGCCCAGTAAATGTAAAATATACATAAGAGGATCCGCTGGCATGGGATCGGTTTCCACCATTTGCTTCAGTATCTCCAGTAACCTTGGAAAAATGCCCTTCTCCGTGAGATAGGCAATCGATTCTTCTTCTTTCTCCGACATGTTGCGTAATATTAAACGCGCAGTTAACGACAAACTAGAGAAAAATTAGCAATGATAATGCAGAATTTCGCAATAAAAAAAACTTTGGATCGCGCCAATAACTGTAAAACCAGGGCTGATTCGTCATTTCACAACTGCGCCATCTGGCGGTAGAATTTGGAACTAATGGGAAAGGGCTAACAGCGTGCTGTTAAGTCACTAAAGTGTGCTGTTAGGCGCAAGCCTATTTTTCAACTACACATGGCGCACAAAAGTACTTTAGTACTACATTTCCTGTTCATTTCTTTTTAACAGCATTGAATGACATGTGTTTTTCCATCACAAAATGTTAAAATACTGCGGTTCCTTACATAAATGTTAAAATTGTCTCCGCTAACTGCGGAGGGTGTCTCCACTATTGACCAATAATCGTTAGGGATGGCAAAATATCGACGATGCCCGGCTAATCATCGATATTGCCGATGTTTTAAAAACATCGATGGCATCGATAAGAGAATCGAACGGAACACAACAAATATAGTCAAAATTCGAAACGAGAAAGAATAGTTATATATAGCACCGATCTGAGTAAAATGGAGAAGCTAAGCAAGGCGAAAAAGGTGGCTCGTGAGGAGAAGCAGCGCGACCAGAAGTTGGAGGAGCTGGTAATATCGAGGGGCCAAAAGCCCAGCCCCATTTCCCAGGCACTTCCAGAACCCATGGAAACGGGATAAATAGTGGAGTTTTTACTAAGTTGGAAATCTCTTGCAGGTAATGAAGTCCCTGGATGAATGCCCCTCCACCGAGGAAAAGGTGAAGTTACTGCTGCAACGCCATGTGGACAGTGAAAAAAACGTGAGCCGGCTGACATCGGAACTTCGCGTCCTGCAACGTCACATGGAGTCGCAGCAAAGGGAAAAGGAGCAGGTGCAGAGGGATCTCAACAAGAGTGTACTGATGAGGGACAAGCTGCAGGAGGTTTGCCGCGAACAGCAGCGCATCATTAAGTCCGTGAAAAACGAGAGCCTGCTGCAAATCAAAGTCGAGGAGGAGCGCCGCAAGGAAAGCCAAATGAAGTTCCAAAACTCCCTGAACGACGTGCAGAAGTCCCTGGCCAAAAACAACGAGGAGAACATCAAGCTGCGCGATTACAACATCGAGATGACCAAGAAGTAAGCATCGCCGCCCCACAGAGCGGTTCTAAATATAGCCACTGCACACGCACGTTCTCTGTATTCCCATTTTCCCTAACCATCTGGCCTGCGTTTTAGGTTAAAACTGCTGGCCGAGCAATATCAGACGAGGGAACAGCACCTGGAGAAGCTCAACGAGCAGGTGCAGCTGGAGGCCCAGTTGCACCAGGCCAAATTGCAGAAATGCCAAGTGGAGGCCGCCATGGAGAAGGAGATACTCGGCAAGTATGTGAAGAAATCGGCTTCTAAAACGCGAGATAGACGCACCTTAGATGGTCAGACTTTAACGAACGAGTTTTAATTCAAGAAACTTACTGCGAGTGAGAAACTCACTACCGGTTTTCAGTGGGCAAAGACTATTTGTCCTTTTAAGTAAACTTTAATCCTGTAGAACTAGTTTTCATTCAAGAAACCCACTACAATTTCAGACTTTTGTTAAGCCTAGCAAATTAATTTGTGTTTTGAAATACATATAACATAAATACATAAAACATAACTAGGCTCAATTCTGCAGGTCTTGACTCTAGAGATGTAATAGATTTTTGTTACAACTTTAAATATTAATAGGATTCGTTATAAAAGCTTATCAGTTACTTATTGCAACAAATTATAACAGATAATGACAACGGTTTTGTAGCTATTTATGTTAAGTGACAACGTCCTTAGCACAATTACAAACAAAGCAACACACCTAAATTGTGTACCTATTTCAGGGAAAACAAAATTGGATTGGAGAAGTTGCTACAAGCGCAACGTGCCATTAAGGATCTCACCGACCGGGAGCACCAGCTAAAGGAGCAGCTGAACATCTATACCGCAAAGTACGATGACTTCCAGCAGTCGCTGCAGAAGTCTAACGAGGTATTCGGCAGCTACAAGGTGGAGCTGGAGAAGATGTCCAAACACACGAAGAAGATTGAGAAGGAGGCGCTCGGCTGGCGTCAGAAATACGAAAAGGCCAATGCCATGGTGATCGATCTGGCCACCGAGAAGAACCTGCAGGCGCAGCACTCGGATCGCCTGCAAAAGCAGATACAGCAACTGCAAAAGTTACTGCGTGCTCTTCAGCTAGAGCGGACCACGTTGCACAAGTGCCTGCGGGACAACGAGATCGAAATTCCCGCCTTGCCGCAATTGCCGCCAGAACCGGAGCCAGTCAATGTGAAACCCGTCAGTGCGGATAATGTTAAAATGGAGATGATGACACGCAATTGCGCAGAACTGAAGCAGACACTGGCGAATCTGCAGAGCCAAATGAAGCTGCTAACGGCCAGCGAATCCAAGACGGCCATCGAGGAGAAGAACAAGGCCGAGGAGCAGAGGCAGGCGAACAACGCCAAGAAGAATATTCGCAAGAAGGAGAAGAAGTCCAAGGCAAAGGCTGCTGCAGCAGCGGCGGCAGCTGCAGCAGCATCCACACCGGATGAGGAACTCGACGGGGACCAAGAATTAGCTGACACTGAGTCCAATACCGAACTGCAGGGAGCGGGCGATGCCTCAAATGTCAAAAACACCCAGGAGCAGACGGTTCAGACTGTGACAGAGTCCCAGGAGATTGTGGGTGATGGTGACTCTGCATCCGCCAAACAGCCAATTAATATCTCCGAAGTGCCTCACCTCATCGATGCCAATGCAGACTAAACTGTACTCTCATCCAAATCACGGACGGCGTCGTTGCCTTCCCTTTAAAGCATTTCGTGTCATTCATGTCTCAACCGAAAATCGTCATCAATTACGAACCAACCTGGTCAGAATTTTGTACTAGTTATTTATTGTACTTTGTATATTGTATTTATTTAAAGGAATGTCTACGGTGATCATATGTTACTGTTCAACAACAAATTGAGTAAAACGTGTTTCATGCAAACAAATAATTTTTGGTTCTTATTGGAAGTCAATTGATGCAGAAAATGTTCATGATTTTCAAAAATTAAAAATGAGTCCCTTTTATTGCAAAATTATCTTACTGTACGCATATATTTCATCTCAGTGTCGCGTTATTTTGCTCACAAGGAAATCTAATGAGTCAGCGTTTTAAAAGGAAATTAATCAGGTTAAATAGCTTTAACCTGATTAATTTTATTGATAATTTGATTCTCTGAAAGATTAAAACACATATAGAAGCTATAACACGACTTCCAATTTGGCATTACAAAATATAAGTTAAATATTAGAAAACATGGGCTTAAGCATCAAAATCTTAAATTCAATAATGCAATCAAGTCTTTAATGGAAGGATAAATAATGTTGCGTTGATACCTAAATTAAGAAATCGTCAGAACGCGACTCCCTAATAACCCGTAGTCTCAAAGAAAATTATTACAACAACTTTTTTTTAAAGGTGTTTGCTATTATCAATCTGGGCCCTTATTTTGCACCAGTTTTCGAAGGAAGCTGAATGGAAAGCCACAATAGCGCACAAGCTCGATGGCCATGGATTGCTTTCGTCATTCTTGTCGCCGCCACAAAGTCTGGTGTTGCATGCAACACATTGCAATGCCAACAGGCGGATAGGTGGGAGGACATGGTTGTTTTTAAGGGATGGGTGGTGAGCGCTTGTGGTTCGTGGCCAGGGTCATTTTAATTGCGCCTTAATTATTTTCAACACGCAGCTGTCATTTTTGCCGGGCCTCAGATTTCCGCTATAAAATATTCAAGACGCATGCAACGTGGCGTATGCGTAACGTCAACTGTTGGCAGCGGTCACTCAGTGCGGGTTAGGGTGTTGAAATACAGTTAAGCCATTTAAGCCACTAAAATAATTATACAAATTAATTTAAATTGCATAAAGAACAGCATACGAAAGAAGGGGCAATTATGCGGGGTCTCAAGGTCTCAATGTTTTTTTACCCTATGTCACAGGTGGTTAAATACAGTATGTGATACAGAAAGGCATTAAAAGGTTATTACAAAATTGAATTTAAAATGTACATTATTGTTTATAAGCATAAGGAATACTATTTATTTGGAGCCTGTTCCGACTGATTGCCCATCAAGCGGTATTAAAACTGTCGTCTACACAACCCAAAAGTGTCACACTTGTGCATATTTCACACCCTCGCACTCACCAAAATGTGTGCACCTTTCGCAGGCAATGAGCTTTTGAACATTTAATGAGTTAATACGCTAAATTTGAAAGCCGCGCAAGCGTGCGCCAAGTGCTCCAAACACTTGTCCTCATCCCCTTGACCAAGTTGCCCATTTTCAAGCTTGAAAAATGAGAATGGGAAAATCACGCAGCTAAATCCCACACTGAACTTTCTTGGCTACATAGTTTCATGACAATTTAGCAAAAAAAAAATTGTTTTACTAGTTCTAAAAAAAACGCTTAATGGTAAAATAAATAAGTTATAACACAAATTCCATCTAAAAATAATTAAAAAAAAATTAATCTTTACTATCGAGTAAAACAAAATGTTGGGAATACATAAATTAAATTATTGAAATAACAACATAATTCAAATATAGAGCATCATTTTTTTCTCAGTGCTCGCTCACACGCACATGCAAAACACTAAGCACTTGTCATTTGGCTGTGGAAAACGCCACGTCCTTTCGTTGGCGAAAAAAACAGTGCAAGTGTCCAACACACAAGCATATGTATACACACATGTATGCGAAAAAGCAGCAGCATCGCAGACATTACTTTTTGGAGGGATTGGATGGCAGGGCACCGCGTTCATCCTAAGCTCATGGGTGTCATTTCTCAGGACCTTCTCGGTCTGCAAGGATAACAGCAGCGTAACAGAAGAGCACCGTTTGGAATCAGAATAGTAGAGGCTGCCAGACTGCCTGTTTCTCAGTTTTTAAGGACAAAGTCGACGGCAATGGTGTGGCAATATTTTTGGCAGCAGATTGTGCGGGCTGAGCAAGATGAATGAGGAATATGAGTGTTGCCTGCACAGTGGGTGGATTTTAATACTGTTTTTAAATCGGTTCACATTGAAATGTGTAACAGGATGTCTGTTTTCAAGACCAAAAGATTAAAATAAATAAACACTTTTTTTTACAAATAAAACTAAACTAGTTTTGAATTAATGCATTAGAGTACGGCAAATAAATATAAAACAACATTTTTATATATATGTTAAAAATGAAATTAAAATAAATTAATTATATTTGTCATTTAAACTTAAAAGTATACTTTACTGGGCCTTTAAAAAAAAGTAGTTTGTATATATGTTTAAATTACTTATACAACACGTGCCAATATCATTTTTGCCTTTTTTATGGTTAGGACCACTGTAACCACCAAGGGCCATGATAAATCCCACCCGCACACTTAAGTGAGTGCGCTGGCTCTCCGGCGAACTCTCTGTCCGGCGGAGTGTTTTCGGCTCTCCGGTTCTCCGGCACTCTCTGCGTGGGAGAAATTCGATTTGGCAGCGGAGCCTGCGGAGTCCTTTGGCCCAAGCTGTGCTTAGTGGGATATTTTGGCAACAGAAGCCTGGCTGCGGTAGCCGGAGATTTTCCGAGTGAAACGAACCAGCCGAACGAAGTGAAAACCGAAGCTTCACTGCGGGCAAACATTTTCCTGTAATCAGTTGTGTATAGGACACTCGCGTGCGCGCGTCGAACGGTTTCTTGCTTTATTTGGGTGAAAAGTGTGGAAAAGTGTGTGTCTGACGGCGAAACGGTAAACGGGGAAAACGCTGCGCGGTTTTTGCTGCTCCCGAGTTTTTATTCTGGATTTCAATGGTAACGATTGTTGCTGCTGCTGTATTGTCAAGGACTATTATATTACCCATAAAAAATAATTTATTCCAAAGTATTTTTGAAAAATAATCAAAAATTGGACAAACAAGTTGGAGGAAATTTTCCAGCTACAGCTACAGCTGCTGCCTCTGCCAGCGTCGCTGCCGCAGTTCGAGATAAAGGATATGCCCGGATCTAAAAGATACAGTTTTTCTTCTTGTTTCTTTTTTTCTGCTGGTGCTGCTGCTTCTGCTTGGCATTTTGCACAGCAACAGCAACAACAATCGTTGAGAAAGGACCACAAGTTTTGCTAGATAAAATGTAACATACAACCAAGAAATAAGTGAGCGCCAAAGTATGCAAATAATTGAATAAGCCGAAATCATTAACTAATTAAAACGAGACACGCACAGAGGGCAGGAAAATATCGAAAGGAGTCAAGTGTTTTCGAGGAGCTGGTTTGCTGGTTTGCTGGCATGCTTTGAGGTTAATACCACCCACCCACCGCCCATCATCACCACCTCCTCCTCCACATCTTCGTTTTGGCCAATTTCTCCGTCTGCTTTCGCCGCTTTCTTCGTCACCGCCGCTGCCGTCACCATCAAAAGGTATCGAAGGTAAATATATATATATATATATATATATATATATATATATATATATACATATATATATGTATATGTATGTGTAAAGCCGAGTGTGTGTATATAAGCCAATGGCCTAACAAACTAACCTACAAAGTAAACAAAAGCGTTACGCTACAAATGCAAATTTTTTCGCACACACATGCTTAAGAACTATAAACAACAACTCATTTAACTGACGCCATGCCCCCATAAACGCAAACAAAAAACAAAACAACAAAGCTCAAGACGAGTAAAAAGGCAAAAAAAAAGGTGGAAACGGCAGGGCAAATGGAACACAACAAAGCAAAACGCACGCTTCTAAAGCTATTTGTATAAAATTTTAATCGCATGCGATTTATTTGACTAGGCGCCAAGTCTCGCACGTCAACGCATTTTTGCAAACGAAGGCTGGGAACCAAATACTCACCTGGAAATTGCGAAAAAATATTGCGTTAACAATCTGTTTATTTTTTTGCAAAATAATGGGAATAACGGTTTCATTTGAAGTTTGAGCCATTCCAGATTTTCTATTTTCTCATAATTCAGGCAATTAATGAAATTTAATAAAAAACCTCGGCATTTTTGAACCAAATGCTGCGTGTGGATATATTTCGATTTATAACTAAAATGGTACTTTTCATTTTTATTTAAACAAATATAAGTAGGTATGTATTAAAACGAGCACCTGACGGATTTGTTTACCATTCACAGTATTATGCAAAATATTAAAAATTGTTTATATTTACGGCTTTTGGGCGAAGTGTCGACAGTCTGTTTAATAGACGCAAAAATAGTAACACTATTCATTTGTTTTTTTAGACAGTGTATATTTTTAGAAAGTAAATTAGAAAACGGGCTCTTGTGAAAAGTAATTCTAGTTTGTTATCAGAATTTTTAAATTTACAAAGCTATCACCACTAATAGTTTTAGAATTGCATATACTCGCAGGCTTTCTAAATTTAATATTCAACTTAATACACCCCAAGCCGAGCCATTTAAAATTCCAATTATTCAGCTTAAATTTCTGTTCCATTTAATCTCCTACAAACAGACAAAATAAACTTGTGTGCAACAATTGATGTGCACTAACAGGACTTTCGTGCAGTCTGGCCATAAGCCATAAACAAAATGCTTGTTCCATTAAATGCACAAGCCGATTATAAAAATGGAATAGTGAACCATTTAGAAATTCAAGGGGATTTTCTCCAAACTTATGGTGTCAACTGAAATGGTATTAAGGATTTAAGCGAAATATCTGAAGTTAAATTACTAATAATATTAAATACGTTTTTTTTTTTTAACTTTTCAAAGAGCAATATAAAATCAAGAATAGTTATTAAAAGAAATACTTGTTTTTTTTCAAGTATTCACTCTAGGAAGCTTTAATTTCAATCTTAAATCATACTCCTTTAAAGTTAGCTAGCATAATGTTTAAAAAATTTTTATAGTTTACAATTTAATTATTGTGTATAGCTTACTAAACCAAATTACTTTTCCAAAAGTAAATGTTTGAATAGTAACTTGTATGCCTCATTTAATGGCTCTTTTCAAAGAGTGTTGCAAGACATTCACTTTGCTGAAATGAATTTGCTAGCATCTATTTATACAATCCTTGAGTCCATTTAGCCAACTATTTTAAGTGCTGCCACACAACAAGAGTTGAATGAAATGAACTTGGTTCGCGGGAAGCTGGATGAAAAACACTTAACGTGCAACTAAGCGACAGTTGTTGTTTTGTGCGGCATTTAAAAATAGAATCAAGGTGCGCTCTAGTTTCATTTACACATACACACGTACCCAAAGAGCCTACATAAAAGTGGCTGCTGTTGTTCAGCAAGTGGGCGAATGAGAAAAATGAAGGGGCGGGCGCCGGAATGTATGCTACACGAAACTGCAAATAGAAATGCTATAAATAAAATTCAGACATAGCAACATTGAAAATGTAAACTTGGAGCCTATTAAAAATTTAAATAGAATGCTGTTAATGGACAAAGTATAAATAAACGTTTTATTACCTAAAATATTTTCTACAAAACTCACAGCACTCACAATATTTAAATATATTCAGTTATTTTAACCTAAAAAAAATTCAAAACATCTTTAACTTAAATATATCCTAACTCATTTAAAAATTGCGTAAACGAATCATTTAAACAGAAACTTGTTTACCTCGCAAAGGTCAAAACTCCTTAACCTTGGTCACAAGGAAACCTTAAATGCAACCCCAATGACACGCAAACTAATACGAAATTCTAACCGCAGCTGCGAAATGATTCAACGCTTTTCGGCTGTAAACTGCCTAATCACTTTAGGTGTTAGGTGCGTGGGCTATCCAATGACACTGGTAATTACAGGCCCAATCGAATGATATTGTCTTTGTCTAAGTGAGTAATGAGTAGAGGGCGTGACTATCGCCAAACACTCTGTCTTTGTTGAATATTTAAGGCTAGTCAAACAACTTGACATTCACTTACAACATTTTCAGATTGAAGGACGAATTTTCGAAAGAATAAAGTCACGCTAAGCGCAAGAAATATAAATATCATTATAGTTGGTCATGAGTTGGACTTACTTATATTTAATTTTTTTCCACAAATAATTTTATTTAAAGTTTGAAAAATTAATGTCTCTTTTTTTACAGCTTTATTGTTATTTTAAATCATTCAATCATTTTGGAAACTAACGTTTTAAAAATCAAATAAATACCAAAATCAACATTGCTTTGCTTTTTTTCGATGCATAAAATCTTTTAACCATTCAAATGGCTTTAAATATGTATCTATAACGATTTTGTTCTAGCAATGGACACCGCAAGCCATTCCCAGCATGAACATCAATTTGCCAGCATTTGGTCAACTTATCGTGGAAAAAATACTGCCTTTTTTTCCATGGTTCAAGTCATATAACATGTGTGTAAGCATCCTCCACATACACACATGCAACAGCTAGGAAAAACGAAATATTTAACTTTCAAACAGCAACAAACTTGAAATTTATATAGCCAACCGCCAGATGTGTCTATAAAACTTATACATTCTCATCCATGCGATACAAACATACATTTTGCGGAGGATACTCTTTTTTTCCTTTATATTTTTATCGCCAGCTGATAAGAGCAAAGTTTTTCCAAAATTTAGCGCCTGTAAGAGTAACACGCATACGCCATGTGTTATAAACATCCGAAGAAAAGAAAGAAACCGAAGTACCCACAATTTCAGAAAAAGTTAAATGTCTTTACTGCCGAGGATTTCGGTAACATTTTTTAACTGCTCCGCTGTGGTAGTGGGTGGAAATCCACATTTACAAGCGAACATATGTTTGCCTACATGCAATTAACAAGCCAAGTCCAAACATTTGGATGACTATAAAAAAATTATACATACCGATATATTTAAACGGTTCGACCATTAAATACCCGGCAGTCAGTTCTTAAAATATGTTTATTTTATACCTATTCAAATAAATGTTTGCATTTTTTTAAAGTATGTAGTATGTTTTAATTCATAATCTCTGAAAAATTGACTATGAACATAACCACTGTGTTCAATAATTAGCAAAATTTATTAAGTTTGAGACCAGACTGATGACAAATGCATAATACCCTATATATTCCGACGCCAGTTGAAAATTGGGTACATTTATGTTCAGCCACCGAAGCGAAGCACTTGCGAGCATTAATTACTGTGCCGGCCTGCCAAGTCAGCAACGAGATACCAAAAGTTGAAAGACCAACAGCGAAAAAATATGGCATACTTTTCGGAATTTTTTTCCCCAATTTGGACCTTTCCCGCTTTCCCTCACTCTCTTCTGGCAAGTTGTATGAGTTGCGAGAGTTGAATGTTTCTTTTTATTACCATTGCCATTGCTTTTGTTGTTATTGCGATCTTTTGTTTTTGTTTTTGCTAAAATTTTTATTATTTGGACTGTGTATTGTTCTTGTAGATTTTCATGTTCATTGTGAACATAAAAGTAAACCAAGCTAAAAAAAACGTTAAGCAAAAACAAGAAAGTTAGTTTTGTAGTTGATTTTTCGCAGAAAAGAATCATGTTGAGAAAAGCAATTCCCGAAATGAGTAATTGGTTTTTGAATGGGGAGAAAAACTTACACTTCGAAAGATGTAAAAGCAATTCTGGTAGGGTAACAAATTTGTTAACAGGAGTTTAATCGGAAAATTATTTAATTTATATACTTACCACATTTAAAGAAAAGTCTCTATTTCAAGAATGAATTAGTGGAATTATTTAATTAATTACTCTAATTTATAAAAAAAAACAGAGTTAAGAACGTAGGTAAACTCTACCAATAAGAGTATATTTATTTAGATATATTCTACTAATTAGGCACCATAATTTAAATTATATCACAAACTAGTTTAAAAGATCTCACAAAAGCAGACATATAATATTTATATATTTACCAATTATATCCTTTAGCCAATTTAATTTGTTTTGATTTAGTTTGCTTGTATTTTCCCTTTATCTTGGCGGAAATAAATTAAGTCAGCTCATAAATTAAATCAATTCAAGCAAAAAACTTGTTGTCCAGTCAAGTTTTGTGGCTCGTACACCCACGCAGGAATAAGTTCATGAACATATCTGGGAATATTTATAGCTTGGCCGAAAATTCGGTTTGCTTCTGCCATTTGGCCAAGAAAGGGGCACAGCTCGAATGATTGTCTAAAAGATGGCGCTTATTGCCGAACCGGAAGTTCCCGGAGCCATCAAGACTAGCGGGTGGGAATATATACACCCGAAATCCATATGCCTTCTTATAGATTTGTGTATGCGGGTCGCCAGCGGTACGACTTTCAATGCTGGCTCATTGTTCAGAATTTCGCACAGTTGAATAAGAAATTTCGAGCTACACCCCCCGTTAGCAGGTATACCACACCACCTACTCCTTGCGAAATAATTCCAGCCCAGAAACACCACCCGTTTGAAGTAGTTGCAACTATTTTGGCAGTTTCCTTGCAACGCTTTTTGTTGGCTGG